CACGGCGGGTGGGCTTTGGATCCCCCAAACTCAGACAATAGATGTGGTGGGAGCAGGAACTTGTCAGTAGCAGAGACTGTAATAGGAACGGAGGGATAACGAGAGAGCTAAACGCTCGGAGCAAACAGGATAAGATAAATAAAAAAAAAAAAAAAGAATGGTAAGAAATGGCGTATGGAAGAGGCTGGGAACGGCGATAAAGTGTTGCTGGGAAAAAGATGGAGAGGGGAGAGAGAGATGGAGCGGGGGGGCTGTTCGGTCGCACACAGACCGTCACCGGTCGGACTCTTTGGCAGGAAGGATTGACTGGAAAGAAAGTAGGTACGCTGTAAGAAGCCGCCACTTGGATGTTCCTGGTGTCAAAATTGATCAAGGCGAAACAGCAAGCAACAGCATACACACACACGCAATGATTTTCGCCGTGGCTTATTCTGTGTCGAGGATTCGGTAATGATGAATTCTAAGCAAGTCTCGCGGAATAACACATGGATTGACTAGACACTCCCAGTGGCTGCCAGCTCTTTGCCAGCCCGTGTACAACTCAGCGCAGCGACAGCTGGCATCTTATCGCGCTAGACTTGGCCAGTTTCATCAGAACCTTGTTGTGGGAAACCAAAGTGTCCGTTGGTATGGAGGCTCGTGCAGGGCTGCATTCCTGCCCGTAGTCACAGCCATTCGCCTTGCCTTTTGGCGCATCTTCCCAGGGGCTTCGCACAGGCAAGAGTTTCCTACTGGATGAAACACGTCGATGGTACCTGACGGACCTGATCAAATCACCTACATTGCTTTACATATTGATCCGTACAGACTATAGAGGACATGGGAGTAAGTTATTCAACATATGCACTGTGAGGGCCTGGAAAACTTTATATGGTCCTTGTAGATCCCAACCCACAGCCGAAGTACTAGACTGGACTACAGTCCAGCCATCTAATGTGACTGTTGGCGAACTTGCATTAGGCACTCGCCCCGCCCACCCCCCCTCCTTTTTGTCGAAGCTCACACCAACAGATAACCGCCATGTTTGTATGATTGTTTCAGGCTATAATCACGAGAATAAGAGCTGACCTTGTGGATGAGCGGTAAGAAGAAGCGCTGGAGTGGATGAATTCAACACGCTTTCATTCTTGTCTTGTCTTTCCATCCTCCACCACACAGCACTCCCGGCGCTAATCCTGATCCAGAGAGCACGGACATCAGCTAGTCCGCACAAGGAATAGTCCAAGTCGACGAACCAAGAATGCGATAACGGCTAAAACGCTAACCGGATTAGGCTTGGGAGGGAAGGTCGGTTCGAATGGAGCCAAAAGCAGCAACGAGTTCATGGATCCATGGGAGCTCTGTGTGTCTGATAGCTCTCATTGCCTGCCGGATTGGCAAACAGCAGACCGTTACCTTGACCTTCTCAGTGGAGATGATGGCACTTTGACACCTCGAAGTGGCTGACGGAACCACTTGCCCTGTCAGAATGGTGGCTCTCCAGCAAACGTCAACGAACGGATAGTCTACCCTGGCTATGACCTCAGCAAGCAGATCATCCGAACGGAGAGCAGACTCACAAACGCAAGCACCATTTCGTTCGCCACCTGCGTCGGGCCTCTGATGAGAGAATCAGAACCCCCAATGAGCCAATTATCTGCATCGAGACCGATCCTTGATGAATTGGGATGGGCAGGAATGATGCTTGGTCGGCAGTAAGTGTCTCCTTTTTGCGTCTGCTTGGCCTGGACTAATTGCGATTCCCCGCCCCCTTTGTTGTTGGTCGGTTCAAGGGTCTGATTGTCAATCTCAATCAACAGCGCCGGTGGCGCAACGCAACGCAACCCAGTGCTGGCTGGCACTTTGACTGGCCCTCCTATTCCGAATACCGCAATGTTCTAGAAACCGTCTGGAAGCCCCTGGGAGGGCCGATCGAAGCTTCCACCTCTTCCACATCGCGTCCGTTCCCGGTCGACTGGGCTGAAGGATTCGGAGGTCTGGGGCCCATCGTCCACGTCTCCTTTTCGTTTTCACCTTCTGGAACACGCTGAGACGGTGCTAGTCCGATCGACTACGCCCGACTATGGATTTCATTTGATAATACCTAGGAACAGAGACAGACTATTGACCCAAGGCCGTCAGCTATTGAAGTAGTGGACTGGACTAGCGGGGTGTCCGTGACGTCGATCGAGCCGTCTGAGCCATCTTGTCCTAGCGATGGAGGTTCCCAACGCATCCGAAATTTAGTCCGTTGCCCTTAATTAAGGAGGTGAGTCTACTAGTAAGAACGGAGGGTGGCCTGAGTGATGATGGTGGTGGTGGGTTCGACAAGGGCACCACCGGGGAGTTCTCCGAAGGATGGTGTGTACAGTAGTAGGAGAGAGCCGAACTCCTGGAATGGAATAGACTGGGAAAGGGGGGTGGGAGAGGGAGATAATCAGAATGAAAAGGGAAATAAAAATGAAAAATCATGATTTTCCACTGCAAATAGAAGTAAAGAGTGATATGATCATGAGAGGACTTTACTTTTTAGACGCGAGTCATATAATAATCCATCCATCATCCAGTTTGGCTTTTTGGTTTGCTCCCCGCCTTTTTCATGGTTCTTCATTAATTCATTTATTTCCCCTCCCTTTTTCTGCAACCCCTCCGGATCAAGTTCCCTGCGTATCACCACTTCACCACCACCACCACCACCACCACCACCACCCCTTTTCTGGCGCCATTCAATTTCATTTAAAAGCAGCCCCCCATTGAACTGTCTAGAAGGCTTCCATCCCGAAATTAGGTGTTTCTGCCATTTTTCTAGCCGGTCCCTCAACCCTTCCATTGTCTGCAAATCCCACGCGACCGAGAAGCCGCTGAAGTCTCACTGGTAAGAGAATCCCTCCTCCCAAAGCTACTCTCCATTAAACTTCTGCCGTGTTGCCCCTCCAAAGCTTGCCCGGTGATTTTCCTTTCCCGCTGTGATTGCTGTGCTTGTTGTTTCACACTGGACTCATTTATTTTTTTTTTTATTCTTTTCATTGTGTATATCACTATTATATTCCTCAGATTTTGTTACCTTTTTTTTTTCTGTATCTACATTGCTTGTGTTGCTTCGTGAGATCTACTCTGCACCAGAACAGCTCTGGCCAGCTATCTACGGGCAAAAACAGCTCTCTCCCTCCGCCAGAAGAAAGCTTCAGAGGCTCCGAAGCAGAAAAACGTACCACGGCGGACCTCCAATGAGGCCTGCTGGACCCAATACCCACACTGTTTAGCGGAGACCCCAATCATCAATGATCTTGCTTCCCTGACTGGATCCCCCATTTCTGTTCCATCCACGGCCACCTTCCAATCTGCTTGCTGCTACGACCTTCTGGTCGGTTTCCCTACCCGCCCCTCCCTCCCCTCCCACACTCTTTCTCTCGGGCTTGTGCTACCACATCTTCTGTTCCCCCCGTCCTTTCCAAACCCTGCTGCTACTCTCGCTTTCTGATGACTCCTGCCCCCTCCTACTTTTTCTCTCCTTCTCTCCCGCACATACACTCTATTTCTTCACCTGCCCGCCTTCCCAAGTCTTGCTCAGCGTCTGACCTCCTTCAGACCATTTCCGTCCTTACGTGCCGGCCGCTTCAGTCGCCGTCTCCCGACCTTCCAACTTCCCCGCTTCACTGTGGCCGGAGCGGTGTTCTCTCCGGCCCTTCTTTCGCCAGCATGGCTGAGAGTGCATTCCCCAGCGCCCAACAACCCCTCCGGGTGGGCACAAAAGACGACAAAGCCGCTGCTTTTCAGAAGATCTCCGAGGAGGACGAATACGAGGTGACGTCACCAACCGATCCCACTTTTCGATCTGCCAACGCCGCTGCCGCATCCTCGTCGACCGGCAGCCCCTTCTTTGGTGGTGGTTATGGCGATAACAGCGGTCCAATTCGTTTCAACAGGAGTCCCTTCGACAATGGGCCCAGAGAGGAGGACGAGGAGGGTGCCGACGAGTTCCCTCCAGAAGACATCCGCCCCACGGGCGCCGCGAATCAGGGATTCCCTAATAACTACGCGCTGGGCCGCCGGACATCGGTTTCTGCAGAGTCGCTGAACCCGACCTCGGCTGGCTCAGATAGCTGGACTCCCCCGTACCATGAGAAATCAGAGGAGCAGCTGGCTCGGCTGAAGACCGCGGTCAGCAGCAACTTCCTCTTCTCGCACCTAGATGACGACCAGTTCAAGAGTGTGCTTGATGCCCTGGTGGAGAAGCCCATCCCCGCCAAGGGTATCAAGGTCATCAGCCAGGGTGATGCTGGAGACTACTTTTACATCGTAGAGAATGGCCACTTTGACTTCATGATCCACCCGTCGGGCTCTGTGCAACCCGGTCCGGAGGGCATGGGCAACAAAGTCGGTTCCGTTGGACCCGGAGGCTCATTTGGAGAGCTGGCTCTCATGTACAATGCGCCTCGCGCGGCCACCGTTGTGTCGGTGGACCCGAAGAGCACCCTCTGGGCCTTGGACCGCATCACTTTCCGCCGAATCCTCATGGACTCGGCCTTCCAGCGCCGTCGCATGTACGAGGCATTCCTCGAGGAGGTGCCACTGCTGTCCAGCCTGAAACCGTATGAGCGTGCCAAGATCGCCGATGCTCTGGACGCCATCAAGTATCCTGCTGGCTCTACGATCATTAACGAGGGCGACCCAGGTGATGCCTTCTACCTACTCGAATCCGGGGAGGCGGAGGCCTTGAAGAATGGTGTGGAGGGCCCTGTGAAGTCCTACAAGCGCGGCGACTACTTTGGTGAGCTAGCCTTGTTGGACGACAAGCCACGGGCCGCAAGCATCGTGGCCAAGACAGAGGTGAAGGTGGCGAAACTGGGCCGGGATGGCTTCAAGCGCTTACTCGGCCCTGTGGAAGATATCATGCGACGAGCGGAATATGAATCTAAACCTGTGCCCGCTTGAGAGGCGTAATGGGTCATAAATACACGAAATCCTTGGCGAAGAGGGAGGGAGTTTTGTGTGGGACAATGTGGTGACTTTTCTATCTCTTTCTTGTGTCGTTAATTCGCCTATCTATGCTCTTGGTTGGACGGACCAGTCGGGGAAACCTGTTGGTCTTGTCATCTACGACAGATGGCTGAAAAAAGGGATCCCTTATTCATCGGCGAAACATTTGGGTCGTGTTTTACTATCGGCATCGCGGGGGGTTGTGTATGTCTCTGGACTGTTCATACACGGGTTATATTCATGGCCGAGTCGCGCAGGAAGCCGCAGCCACCAGGCTGCTCACTTCGTTCGCTGCGATCGGACGCGTGTGTCATTGATAAACCACCTGGGTTATTCCTGTCTTTTGCCGTTTCTATGTTTATAATAGCTCATTGGCTACGAAGGATACATATATGGTTGACATGTACGACAAGTGCTTGACAGTGTCGATAGGATGCGTAAGATGATATTTATAATACAGCATAGCCTCAAAAGCAGCAGACTCTGTATCCGTAAATTTAAATGATACCCCAAGTACTTTGTAGATCATCGCGCAACCACCAAATCACTCCGCAACACCCATTTCTCCCCCTCCCGCACCTCCTTCCCCTCATGCAACATACACCGATCCCCATGCCGATGCAGCAGCGCCATCCCCGGCACCGGAGCGACCGACACAGGCTCCGGATTGCGATTGGACCGGGTCGCCTCTGGATAGAAGACAGTTTCCCCTCCCTCACAGCTCGTCAAGTAGATAAGGAGCGTCCAAGTGGTGCGGGCCGCACGGGGCGGACGACCGGGCGAGGAGAAAGTGATGGCATTTGAATCGTCATCTACGGTAGGAGCAGCTATCAGCATACTGAATTACTTTTGACTAGGAGTTGACTACGAAACATCATTCTACAACCCGACAACCCTTTCCCACCTCCACCCCCGAGATACCATGGATTTTAAGGAAAGAAGGATAATGGGAAGAGGGGATAGGATAGACTCACAATGTTTATCAAAGAACTGCCCCTTCGAATACCGATATATACGGATATTCCCGTTCAGCCCGATAGGTTCCCCGCCCCAGATATATTTCATATCTCTCGTCACTGCTTTCTTTTCTTCTTCTTCATCTTCAATCCCCGCATTCAAAACCATCTCCTTCAGCGCCGTCCCCGACCAAAGACCCTCCGCGAACCCCTCATCTTGGATCTGGAACCGATCATTGACTCGCACTGCATCGCCCTTCTTGGGTTTGCCGGGTGTGGTGGTCAGTGGCAGGGAGGCCAGGAATGAAGTGTAGGTTTTGCAGAGCGTCGAGGGGAAGAAGTTCCGGATCAGGTAGATTTGGTCGGGGACGAGAGGGTCGAGGGTGAGAGAGGTGGAGGGGATGAGTGGGCGGAGAGGGGGCCAGTTGGGGGGTTGCTGCCGCTGCTGCTGGTGTTTTTGTTGGAGATGGGATTTGGGGGTGGATGAGGGGGGCTGCTGCTGCTTGGAGTTGGATGTCTTTTTAGGCATTCTTTTTGTGGGGATATGGGGGGTGGTGATGTGTATGGTTATGGGAGTGAGAGTCGGTGAGGAGATGATAGTTGGACAGATGGATACTGAGTCAGTAGTAAGTCAGAGTGACGGGGATTATGGTCGTGAAGTAGTACTATGCAGGTCGGTCTGGTCTGATCTGTCGGTCCGGGATGGGGAGTAAAAAAAAAAGTTCCCAGGTAAGTTACTTTACTAGTGAGTGGTATAGTATGGGGTCAAGTTCAGGTACGGAAACAGTGAATGAAGGCCCGTGATACGTTCCCGGGTGGTAATAACCATGCGGGTACAGTAAGAATGCTGCGTCTGCATAGAAGTATGCCAAAAATACCGTCACAATCTGGCAGAAAATTTATGAAAAACCGACCGGGGCGTGACGGGCCCAGCCAGTCACAGGGCGAGTAGGACGGGGGCCTCAGCCTCACCGCCCTCGACTTCTGCTCCTCCTCCTCCTCCTCTCCCAGCCCGTCGTCCTTCTCCAATCCCCCTCCGCCCTCAAGACCTGCCCGCCGGTCATGTCGTCGTCGCAGACCATGACAGCGTCTGCGGTGGGCCATCGTCCGCCAGATGCTGCTCCAAATATGTCGTCCGTGTACGACTACGCCCGCTCCCAGCAGCAACACGACGACCAACCGCACCCCTCCCCGCCCAGCGACTCCGCAATCCGCCCTCTGCACGATTCTGCCCCCGACTCTCCTCCCAATGGCCTGTCTACCCTGTCCTCAACCACCCCCGTGGTCAAATCCGAACCCGGCGACCACGATTCTGCCCCCTCCGCATCCGCTCCTCCAGAAGCTCAGTCCGATATGCGTCGTCAATCGGCCGCCAGTGCGCTCCTGGCTCAACTCCTCGGGAACCAGGTCTCGGCCGACGGGCTGGAGTCTGAGGATCATCCAATGCCGCAAGCCCAAGACGGGGCCGAGCCGTCCCAAAATAACGACCAGGATGTAAAGAGTCAATGGCACTTCGAATCGACCTCCGAACCCCCGGCTGCCCCTGCAGATTCGACCAACGGAGGCGCGGATCAATTTCCGCCGGAATCGACTGAATCGCTGGCTCCTCACCAACAAGACGAAAAGAACCCCGAACAACATACCGATTTATCTTTTTCGAACCCAGATCATGGCGATAGTATGTCAATAAAGGCATCAGATGCTGTAGAAGGCTTAACGGATCCGTTACTGTTCTCCAAAGCGAGTTTAGACCATCCCGACCTTTTCTCCTCCTTCGATATCACCGCCGCTCCGAAGACCCCGTTTGAAGCCCTTCAGCAGAATGAGATGCTTACCGCCGCCTACCTCTCGCAAAGCGCTGATCTTTCCGCCCTTGGCTATTCTGGTGGGCATTTGTCTCACGATATCGCTGGCTCGGTCGCGGGATCGGAGCCCCGAATCCAGGCATTTGCGAAGCTAGAATTCGATGACGGTCACTTTTACTGCAATACATACTCCTTCATTCTTGGACGTGATGTACGGGCGGCCCGGGCGGCGCATCAGCGCGAAATCCAGGTCCGTCAGGCGATGAGGACTTCCCGGGCTAAGAGTTCGAGCGGTGGCAACACGTCGCATACGCCCAACCGCGTGAAACATGAGGGCAGTGGCATCTTGGGAAGTGTGGTCAGTGACCGCGGTGGTATTATGGGGTTTGATCCCGATATTCCGCCTCATTTACCACACCATCTCAGTCGTCGCTCGTCCGTGTCTTCGCACGCGGAATCGGCTCCGTTGCATGCGACTCCGGCCCAATTGCAATCGACTACCGATTACAATGCACTTGCAATGCAGTCCTTGAACGAAGAGAACGGCGATGCGAAGCCAGTGGATGCTTTGGCTTTACTTCCTTCGCCGGATGCGTGTCCAACGATCCCTATTCATCCCCCAGCGACGGTTGACGGTAGTGCTGCCGGGCATCGAGGGATTTCACGTAAACATGTCAAAATTGCATACAACTTTGACCGAAACCTTTTCGAAATGGAGGTTATGGGAAGAAATGGCGCTTTCATCGGCGCGGATTGGCTATCACCGGGGCAAGTAAGACCCCTACATAGTGGCGATTATATCCAAATAGGAGGCGTCCGCATCCGCTTCCTGCTTCCCGACGTGCCAATTGGCGAAACTGGAGCAGATAGAGTGGAAGAACCATTCACGGCCGAAGATGAGAATGCTCAGGCTTCAACCACGGCCGAGAACGAAACGCCAGCTCCGAAGCGCGCATCTGATGGCTCAGAGACAAAGGAGACGCCGAAGACCACGAAGATCATTCTCAAGACCCGGGCTGAACCTGATCCGTCGCGACCAGTGCAGTCCGTTGAAGGTTCCGGAGATCCCAACCAGCAGCCTGTTCGGCGTCGTGGTCCTGGACGGCCGCCTAAGGACGGCATCATGTCCAAACGCGAGCGAGCCGAACTGGCAAGAGAACAGAAGTTGGCGGCGAAGCGCGAGGCCAATGGAGGCGTCACTCCTCCGCCCATGAACCGTCCCAAAGCTGGAAAGGCACCGGCACCAACCAGTGGTGTTACGGCAACACCCAAAGAATCAGTTGGTGCGGAGTCGCCTAATTCTAAGCCGGAGAAGCGCAAGTACACGAAGAGGAAGAAGCCTGATGGTACGCCAATGGACTTTCCACTACCCTCAACCGAGGGCGGCCAATTTCCCATGGAACATCGCCCGGAGGAGTTCATCAAGGCACCGCCAGTCAAAAAGCGCAAGCCCTCGCGCTCACCGTCGCCCAACTATCCTCCCGAATCCGCCTACACACCGGAGGATTTGGCCAAACCACCATACAACTATGCCGTGCTTATCTTTGATGCCCTCACTGAGGCTGGTACTCCGATGACGCTCAAGCAGATCTACCGCGCGCTGAAGCTGAAATACCCATATTTCCGATTCAAGTGTGAAACTGAAGGCTGGACGTCTAGTGTGCGACATAACCTGAATGGCAACAGCCATCTCTTCATGCATGCAGAGCGTGATGGCAAAGGATGGTCGTGGCAGCTCCGCCCAGGGGCATCAGTTGAGAAGGAAAAGAAGCGACGCCCGTCGCCTCCTCCGCAGGCGTCGCAGCCTCCGTCTGCACCGGCAGCTACTCCCCAGTATATGCCCCAGCTGAACCCATCCTATGGCAATCAGCATGGACAACCTGGGATGGCCAATCCGCACTTCCAATTCCCCTCTATGCCTCCCAATCCTTATGCACCTCCTCCTCCCCCAGCTCCTGCCCCGAATCCTACTCCTACACCTCACCATTCCAGTCCCTATCCGCCCCCTGCTCCAGCTGCTGCCTCTACACCCTTCCCAATACCGAGTCCGCTCCGCAACAACCTTCCACCTGCTTTTGCGCAGACTACGCCCTCCACTTATACCTCGCCTTATGCCTCGGATCCGCCGCCGCAGCTGGTTCAGCTGCAGCAGTCGCAACAGACGCAGCCAATGCCACCCCAACCACAGCACCAGTCACCTTATCCTCCGCCTAACCCACCGTCCATGCCGCCGATGAATGCACCGCCACATCAAGGCCATCATCCTCCACCGCCGCCTCCAGGTCCACCTATGCAGCACCCTCCGCCGAATATGGGCATGGGTCACGACCCTGGGCCAGGCCCAATGGACAACTCGGAGGCGTCGTCGTTCAATGAGCGGGCCAGCAAGGCGATTGACGACTTTGAAGCTGTCCTGATGGAAGACTACGAGGATAAGAACTACATCCGGGAGGTGCTCAAGAGTGCCCGAGCTCGCGTTCTCGGCAATGCCACGGATAGTTCGTTCCCCGGCGGCGAACCGAAGGACGAAGCAGTCATCCTAGATGCGCTTCGCAATCTGATCGGTAGCTTAAAGGACGAATAGTCAGCCCAACAAGGGGCGACTATTTGCAAGCGGGAATAGGATTCAAACTGGGATGACGAATTTACGACTTGGGATTTGCTTTTATGCTTACGAACATACATCTACCACATGGAGACCGGGCCGGTGTTAGGAGATCT